TTTCCACTGAGCCACACCGGCCAGGGCTGTGTGACAGAGAGGTGCAGTCACGGTCACTGGCAGCCACGTGCCTCCGGCCGGGGGTTCCGGCCTCAAATGGCCAGCCTCTGCCTGGATGGAGCCTGCGGGGGTCTGAAGCGGGGGAGGAGAGAGGAGCCGAGAGAGGGAATGGAGAAAGGAGGACTTGGAAGAGGAAGGACTGGAGGAAGAAAAAATAGGGGGAAGGAAGAAGAGGGAGGGAAGAAAGGAGGGGAAGGAGAAAGAGAAGGGAAGCAGACAAGAGGGGAGAGAGGAGGAGAGAGAGGAAGGGGAGGAACAGGAGAGGAGGGAGGGAGGCTGGAGGGCCCCTGCCCCTGGGGACCTTAGCAAAGTGCCTGGAGAGGGTTGGGACCGGTCCAGGCCTGTGGGGGTGGGTGGTGGAGGGTCCCTTCCCACCCCTTGCAGGGCCCTGGGTCATCACGAGGCCGTTTGAAAGCAAATGTCCGTTTGGAGCGGAGGCAGCCTGGCTGGCCTCCGGGACACGGAGCTATCCCGGGCGGGTCCTGGGGCCGCTGGCCGGAACGGGCTGGCGGCTGGCAGCCCTCGAGCGGCTGGACAGCTGCGAGCTGCACAGCGGCCGCGGGGCCGGAGGGCGTGGGCAGCCCCGGCGGTGCCCGCCGTCCCAGGGGCTGCACCGCCACCTGCTGAGCGGCCGGGGCAGTCCGGGCCCCGCGCTGCAGGGCTCGCCGGGCGGGAGCCGAGGGAAGGAGCCCGCGGCCCGGTGCGCAGGTGAGCCGTCCCCGCGGCCCGGCGCCCGCCCGCCGCCGGGGAGTTGAGCGCCGGGTAAACACCAGGCGCCGTGCGCCGCGGCTCCGCCGAGAGACAAAGCCGGGGCGGGGCGGGGGCGCCGCCCGCGGAGCCGGGGCGAGGGCGCGGGGTGCGGAGGGGCCTGGCCGGCGCGGGGCCCTCCGCCGGGGAGACCGGTCCGGGCGGCGGACAGGTGGAGGGGGCGGCGGCGGCGGGCGGGTCCCGCCCCGGGGGTGGGGCGGCGGGGCGGGGCCGCGCTATGCAAATGTCGCCCACGGGCGGCCAATTGCCGGCGCTCCCCGCGCGGCTCGGAGCACCCGTCCCGCCGGCGGCCGGAGACCCGAGCGGAGACCGGAGCGAGCGGCCGCCGCGTCCGCAGAGCCCCGAGCGCAGCCAGGCCGGAGCGGCGAGGAGCGCGCAGCCCCCGCGGCCGCCGGGCCCCGCGCAGCAGCCGGGCGGGCCCCGCGCCATCGGGCCGAGCCGAGCGGAGCGAGCGCAGCGCCCGGAGCTCAGCGCGCCTGGCCCGCGCCCCGCGCCCGCGCCCGCGCCCCGCTCCGGGGAATGCGCCCTCGGCGCGCCGGCCAGGGGCGCCCGCAGCCCACCCGGGGGGAGGCGGCCCCGCGCGCCCCTGAGCCTCCCATGGCCCGGGCGGGGGCCCGGGGCCTCGGCTGCTGACGCGCTCGAAGCCCTCGGAACCCGCTCAGCCGGGGCGCGGCACCGGCACCGGCACCGGCACCGACCCGACACCGGTTCGGGCGCAGCGGCGAGAGGCGCGGGCAGGGCCATGGCCCGGGGGAGGCGCTAGCGGGGCGCCCGCCGGGAGCCCAGGCCCGCCGCCGCGGAGGAGGTGAGTGCGGCGGGCGCGGCGGGCGGCGGCCCCTCGCGGTCCTCCGGGGGCCGCGGCGCCGCAACTCTGCGGAAGTGCCCGCGGCCGGCGCCGGGTCCGGGGCTCCCGCGGACTCGGGGCGACGCGGCGGGAGCGGGCGCCGTGCCTGCGGGTCTGCCGGACCCTGTGCCGGGGCGGGGGCCCGGGGGCGGGGATGTGGCCTGCGGAGTCCCCGCGTGCAGACAACTTTTCCCACCAGGTTCCGGGGCTCCCTCTCCCGCCCGCCGCGCCCGCGGTCCCGGGGCGGGATCCGGCTGCCGCTGCTCCGCTCAGCCTCTCCCTCCGGCGCCCGGCAGCGCGGTGCCCGGGGGTGCGCCCTGCCTCAGTGGCCCAAGCGGAGGGGCCGCCAGCCCGGCCCCCCTCCCAGCCCCGGGCCAGCCCGAGCCCCCTGCTGCCAGCGTGGGTTTGCTGTTCCAGCAGCGAGTCCCCCCATCGGGGACCCAGCTGTTTGTGGGGTGTCGGGGGGCTGGCGGACCTGCAGGCCAGCCCGGGGCGAAGTGGGAGGGACCCCAGGACCGCGGGGGCTCTCCCGGAGCAGGTGGGACCTGGAGGGGTCGGGCCCAGGAGGGAGGCAGGGGCTGGACCAGGGCGGGGGCGGCCGGCGGGTAGGGAACTTCTTCCTGAGATGCTGTGGGCCCAGCCCGGGCACCTGGGGGAGGGGGCAGCCGGGCTGCTGTGTGTGCCTGGAGGTGGGCCCGGTTGGGATTCCTGTCCTGAATTCACCCAGCCCGGCTCCCAGCAGCCTCAGTGCGGTTACAGCCCCGGGACCAGCACCCAGGGGTGGGGGCGCATCCCAGCCCCGCGGGGGTGGGCAGAGGGAGCCGAGCCTGTTCCCAGGTCCCCACGGGAGGGTCCGGGGAGCCGGGGCGCCGGCTCGGCCGCCCCTCCGGGCAGCTCGGAGCAGCCAGATCCGGAAGTGAGGCTGCGGGGAGGGCGGCCAGCAGGCCCCCGGTCCCCCTGCTCGGCTGGGCACACCTTGAGGGGGAGGATGGAGCCGAGCCCAGGTGACCTTGACTGGGAACCCCCCACCACCATCCGAAGGGGGGCAGGCGCAGCTCTGCTGGGTGGCTCTGCTTCCTGGTCCGTGGGGTGTGGGGGGAGGGGGGCGCTAGGGGCTGGGAGGGAGCCTGGCCTGCGCAGGGGGCATACCAGGGCTGGGAGGGGTGGGTGCTGCTCATAATCTATTCCCCCCCCCCCTGTCCCCCCACAGCCCCTGCGCCCGCCCCCCCCTCCAGCCCGCAGTTCCCAGCTCGGAGGAGTCAAGCTCCCTTCCCCGAGGCAGGCTGTCCACCCCCGCCCCACCCCCACGCTCGGCCTGGGAGGTCTGGAGCGGGCTAGACGATTCCACCACCTAGCCCCCGGCCCCGACCCCAGGTACCCCCGGACCCCCTCCTCTCCCGCCCCTTCCCTGCACCCCTCGCCAGCCCCAGCTCCTCGGTTCTTTGTTTGAGCGTCTCTCTCCGTCCCTCCCTCTCTCCTCCCTCTCTCCTCCTCCTCCCTCCCGCCTGCCTTCCTCCCTTGCTCCCTCCCATCAGCCTTCTTTCCTTCCTTCCTCCTCTGCTCTCCTCCCGGTGGGCTCCCAGGTGGCGGTGCGGCTCCTCCTCCTCCGTCCACCCACCTGGGCCGGCGGCGGGGCGCCTGAGGCTGGGGCTGACGGGATGCGTCCAGGGGCTGGCGGGGGAAGTGGCTCCAGAGATGCCCTCCCCATCCTCCCTCTGTCCTCCTTCCTTTCTGCTCCTCCTCTCTCCTCCTCCGTCCCCAGCTGCCAGAGGGGCCTGGACGTGGGCCTGAGGCCCCAGAAGACATGAACATCCCACATTCGCTTTTTAAAGGGCTAGAGCCTTGTTGGGGGAGGGGGTCCCTGCAGGAGCCCAGGAGGGCACAGCCCTCCACCTTCTTGGCCGACGGGTGGGGGGGGACTCAGCCCTGTCCTCCGTGACCCTGACCTTGTCGCCATGAGCACGGGAGCAGGGAAATGAGGCCGTGGAGAGGAGGGAGGGGAGAGAACCGGAACCCTGCCCCCCGCCGCCCATACATGGGATCAAAGCTCCCCCAGGGACTCCTCCCAGGCCAGGACCCTGTCTCCAGCTTCTCTGAGCCCCACCCCACTGGCAGGTCAAGTTCTTGAGCAAACACATGCCTGTGCGAACATGTGTGGGCATGCACGTGAGCATGTGTGCGTGCGTGTGTCCACAATGGTTAGTGGGGCCTCCTGGGTGCACCCCAAGGGGGTGTGGCTGCACAGCCCTTCCCCACCTGGCCCCCATCAGCCTGCATTCAGCCAGCACCAGCGCTGTGCCCCCCACCCCCACCCCTGCAGGCGGGGAAGGGGCTGGTTCTGACTCTCCCCTCCCCCAGCCTCCCAGGAGGAGCGTCTGTGCTGGGGATTCAGAGGGAACAGAGATGCCAGCACCCAGGAGAGGGCTTTCCCGCAGAGGGTGCCCCCCGGGGAGCGGCCAGGAAGCCCCAGCTGCGCTTCCTGTCTGAGGGACCTGAGTGGTTGGCCCTGACGGGAGAGACCCGGGCTTGGGGGGGCGGGTCAGCGGAGGGCACCAGGGGCTGCCCAGAGGGGCCTGGCGGTCAGAGGTGGCAGCTGGGCCTCACCAGGCAGGTGTCAGCCCGGGCAAGGCCCTCACCCACCCCAGGGCCCAGCGGTCATCTGGGCCCGGTCTGCCGGGCGGAGGGCATGGCCAGAGCAGGTCAGGGGCGGGGCTCGCAGTGTGGCTCCTGGTGCCCCCGCCACCGCCGCCGGTGCATCTGGGGGAGGCGGGAGCTGGCGCTGGCTTTTGCCGGGAGGAGCAATATGTTCCGACAACTGGTGCTGGGCTGCGTTTACCCAACAGCCCGTCTGCCTGGGGAGACAAGACTGGAAGCCACCGCACCGAGACGGGGGCCCGCGGGGGGCTGTCCCCAGCCTTGGGGGGCTGGGCGGCCGCTCGGTGGGGCAGCATGAGGAAGAACCTGTGGGAACGCAGAGGCTGCAGGCCCTGAGCCGGACCTGGGGGTGCAGCCGGGCTGGGCCGGGGACCGGGAGAGTCTCCAGCCCCCCTCCCCCAGGCTGCTGACCCGGCCGCACTGGCCATCGGTTACGGAGACGAAATGGGGACGAGAAAGGGCGTGAGGCGCTCGCACTGGCACCCAGGCCCCGGGCCGAGGGGTGGTGAGGGGACGTGGCACCCTGTCTATTCAGACGGGGAAACCGAGGCCCTTGGCAGCCTTCCACGCGGGGACGTGGGCGGGACAGGACCCCGCTCTGCCTCACTCCACCCGTGGCTCTGCCTCCAGGTGTCCGGACCGCTGAGCTGCTCCGGGGCCCCGGCCGCCCACGATGCCTGCAGCCTGCCTCCTCCTCTGGGCTTCCCTGGTGACCGGGGCCTGGCCCGCCGCCCCCACCCAGGACCCGCCGCCCGCCACGCCCCGCGTCCGGCTCTCCTTCAAAGGTAAGCGGCCGCCTCGGTGCCCGCAGCGCCGTGAGCAGGAGCGGGGAGGGGAGAGGCCCCGGCACAGGAGGCCCACACGGGTGGCCCTGGGGGTGAGGCCGGACAGGGAGGGGCGCTGCGGGAAGGCCGGAGCGGGCCCGCTCAGACACTTTGGAGAAGGGTCCTAAGCCGGGTCCCTTCTGGAGGCAGAGGCGGTCCAGCCTCGGGCCTGCCGGGTCTCCCCTGAGCGCGGACCGGGACGCTGGTGCGGCCATACCTCTCCTGCTCCGTCTGCCCGGCCCTGGGCAGCCGGGGGGCGGCCAGAGGGCAGCAGGCACGGCCTCCAGGAAGCGGAGGCACAGGACCTGCTCTGCAGGGTGTGGGCGTGGGCGGAGGGTTCCCAGGAACCGGGGAGGGCGCTGTGGGCTGTGCCCGGGGTGGGGTGAGCTCTGGGGGCGTGTGCGCTGTGGCCGGCCCCGCTCCTAGTCCCCAGGGAGGTTCCAGGGCCGGGCGGGGGTCTGCAGAGAGGGGTCCCGCAGCTCCGTCACCCGAGGCATCGGGCAGGCGGGCACGGTGGCGCAGGGCAGCGGCCGAGGCCCGCGCCCTGCCTCGCCTGGCGGGCTGGGCCATCAGAAGTGTGCTGTCCCCCGGGAGGGCCTGCGGGACCCGGTCGCTGCCCGGTCCTCCCCGTGGCCCCCTCCGGCCTGAGGTCACTTGGTGCAGCGCCTGCCCGGGGCGGGGCGGCCTGGGCGGGCCAGATTTCCGGGCCACATGTGGGGTGAAAGGCTGGCCGTGCGCTTTCCTTCCTCAGGCCTGGCTGCCGCCCACCGTGAGCCGGTTCCCCAGCCGCGCCCTCGGCCGGCCGGCCCGCCCGCAGTGGGACGGGCCAGTGCGGGTGAGGGGCTGGCCCGTGGGGACCGGGTTTCCGAGGACGAGCCCGAGGAACGGGCGGGAGAGGGGTCAGCGCGGTGTGTAGACACAGCCCCGCCCAGGCTGAGAGAGGAGCCATTTATCCTGCTGACACCGCCCCTCCAGAGGAATTCCTCAGAGCCGGTCAATAAATCTTGAAGAGCCTGATTCGCTCTCCGTCCCCCTTCCCAGCAGCCCAGGGTGCAGGCAGGGGTTAGAGCACCCCTTCCCCCACGGGGCGAGGGTGGGTGGCTTGGTCTCCACACCCCAGGGACCCTGGAGCCCGACACTCACTCGGGGTTATTTTTGTCATCTCCCTGGAGGCCACGGGAGGCCCAGGAGGGATGACGCGTGGGGAGGCCCTCCGTCGGCTCCCCTAGGCCTCCTTGGCCTCCCAGGGACGAAGGCTTTTGTTCCTGTTTCCCAGAGAGAGAAACCGAGGCTTGGGCAAGGGCAGGCCCAGGTCAGCCGGGAGGCAGAAGCGAGGCCAGAAATAGAACCTGGTGCCCTGGCCTTGTCGACGCCTGACGCCCACGTCAGCCAGGTCGATCCGCTCTCAGTTAGCTCCGAAGCCAACACCGCGGTGACTAAAAGCCGGGCTCCTGGCAGGCAGCCCACCGGGCGCCGCCGGCCCCGGCCACCGGGCGGGGCTGCGGGCCTCGGGGCCCTTGCACACGCAGGTGTCCCCGCCCGGAGCGGCCTCTCCTGGTTCCACCTGGTCTGGTTTTAGGGAACGTCTCCTGGTTTACCAGCCACTTGAGCGCCTACTGTGCGCCAGGCCCGTGCGGAGCGCCGGGGACTCTGCGGTGAACGGGAGGGGGACCTACAGGCCGACCGGCTGAAAGGCAGTGGGCACCCTGTCCCTGTGCCACCTGGCTGGCTGTGCGCCGGGCCCTGGATGGTCTGAGGCCGGTCACGGCAGGCAGGGGCCCTCGCTGAGGGGCGAGTCCTCGCCAGGTATGGCGTGAGAGTGGGGGCCAGCTCCTGCCCCACGGGTCCCACGCCTGGTGAGGACTGGGGAAGGGGGTTTCTCCCGGGGACAGAGAGGGCTGCTCCCCGACGCCCTGGTGGCCACTCTGGCCCCGTGCCTCAGTTTCCCCATCTGTGCCTCAGACGGATAGAGCAGCTGGCACAGCAGGCCACAGGGACCCGGCCCCACTGCAGGGGGAGGCACTGGCACACGGGGCATTCCTGCCCAGGGCAGATAAAAGAACAAAGGCAGGAACTGGGCCAGACGTGGGCTTGCTGCCTGCCCGTAGGCCTGGGCACCCCCCGCCAAGCCTCCAGCGAAGAGGGGGGCAGGGAGAAGGGGCCAGGGGCCAGTCAGAGTCGGGGGCTCCAGCGGCCCGGCCCTGAGCTTTCATCAGCCAAGGCCAGGCACAGGGAGGGCCCCCGGGAGACCCCGGGGCGGGCAGGGTGTTCTCAGAGCTCACAGTGCCTGCCGGGGGCCGGAGAGCTGGGGCCGCAGCCCCTCCTCACCAGGCCTGGGTCCCTTCACCCCAGAGCCACCAACGGGGTCTGGGAGAACAGCCCCTCCCGCACCTCAGGGCACTACCTTGGCCATGCGGGGAGGTGCCAGCCGGCCGCCAGGGCCTTTGTTCCGCTCAGGGAATGCTCACTCCGTGCCAGGAGGCCCCCCACCGGGCGCCGCTGCTGCCCGGGCTGGACCTGGCTGGGCCTTGGGCACAGAAGTGCTCAGTGGGGGAAAGAGGTTGTGTGATAACATGAGGAGCTGGCTGTGGGGAGACGGAGGCAGGGGTCGGGAGATGGGCAGAAGGCCACCTCACCAGAGGGGTCGGGAAAGACGCCCACAATCGGAGTGATGGGAGGAGCCCTTCCCAGGGGCGGCCCCCAAGGCCTGAGGCGCCCCCCGGTTTCCTGGGGGCCTGGAGGCTTCGGGCCCCTCAGGAGCAGGGCTGGGACGGAGCGAGGGCGGCCGGAGGACGCGCTGGGGACAAGGCTCCAGGGCCCTGCAGCGCCGTCTTCCCAGCCTCCCTCCCAGGAGAGGCCGGGGTCGCCCTGGGCTGCCTGCGTGCCCAGGACCCCGGAGGGTGGGGGCCAGGCCCGGGTCCAGCGAGGCCCTGCTGGCCGGCCCCGCCCGCAGCCACACTGACGTCACGGGCATGTGGCCGTGAAAGCCAGAGCTGGGCTTCCTTGTTAGGAGACACTGAGATCCGAGGTCAGGAGGGGTCACCGTGGGTGGGGGTTGTGCAAGCCCTGCTGGCGCTGTGCCCGTCCCAGGCCTGATGCACAGGCGAGCAGGGAGGTTGGGGAGTTGGAGGACCCGCCCGTACCCCCGGGCTCTGGGCCAGGGCAGCAGGGAGCTCCAGGTTGCAGGGGAGGCAGGCGGTGAGGAGCTGGGAGCCTCGGAGCCGTGAGGCCCGGAGCCCGGGGGAGCTGGGCGGGGTCAGGTGGCTGAGACAGCCACGGCGGACCTGGAGCGGAAAGCAGGATGGGTGTGTGTTCCTGGATGAGCCAGAGAGAGGGAGGAAGGAAGACCCAACTCGTGAACTTGAGCCCAGATCCCTGGGTTTGGGATCAGCTTTCCTGGAAATGGGAGCTGCCTCCCTCCTGAGGGGGCTCGGAAATGGCCGCTCGGGGAGCTGGGAGGTCCTGGGGGCTGGCTCCCGCCCCCATCAGGCCCCTCTCTGCCCTCCGGGGAGCGGGGACAGGTCCTGCCGGAGCCCCGCCTGCCGGCCGGGCCCAGGGCTGGGCCTTGGGCCTCGGTCCCATCAGCCAAGCTCCGGACGGGCCTGCCATCGGCGGGACCCGACCTGGTCTCCGGTTCCCTGGTGCAGCGCCCGCCCCTCCCTGCTTGGCTCCGGCTCCCCTTGGCACCGCGCGGGAGCTGGTGCATGCTCAGGGAGTAAATCATGTTCCTTGGCAGCCCCCGCTGCTTCGTAATCGTAAAGAATTTAAAGAGAAACCGCCGAGATAGAAATCTCATCCCACTCATAAAAGCATCTTTCACCCTGTGGCTTGGGAGGCAGCCGGGAGCGGGCTCCTGGCTGTCTGCACCTGTCTGCGTCCCAGCCCCGCGGCCCTGGGGGGGGGGGTCCAGGGTGCCTTCAGAGCCCTGCCCCTGGCTCCTGGGAGACCCCCAGCTCCCGCCTGCCCCCTCTCCCTTCGGGCAGGGAGCGGACACTGAGAGTTGGTAGGAAGCAGAGGTGCGGGTGGGGGTGGCAGAGAGGACTGGCCCAGAAGGTGTGACCTCGGACCAGGGGCTCAGCCTCTCCCACGCCTGGCCCCTCCCTGGACCTGGACACCTCTGGCTGTCCTGCTTGCATGCCAGCGTGGGTGGGCCTCAAGCATCTGAGTCCCTCTGTGTCCCTGCTTCCTAATGGGGGTGCACACGGCGTGACCTCGTTGTGCTGTTGGGAGGATTGGCCGTGAGTCCGGCTGCGGCCCCAGGGAAGGAAGTCTCAGCAGCAAGGAGCGGGCAGGTGAGGGGCAGGTCGGGGCGCCCCGGAGCCCCGCACGGCCTCACCCTTCCCTCCGGTTCCTGGCCTTCGGAGAGGACTGCGGGCAGGACCCTGAGCCCTGTGGGTGGAGTGGGGCCAGGAGGAGAATGGCTGTCCTGGGCATCCTGGCGGACTTCCCGGAGGAGGCTCCCTCTCAGACCGGGAAGGGCGATGGGGGAGGAGAAAGGACAGGAGCAGAGCGGTGAGCACTGTGGCACCTCGGAAGGGGTCTGCTGGCCGGGCCTTGCGCCGGGTGCCAGGGGCAGTCTGTGCTTGTCCTTGTGACTTTTAAGCTCTTTTTAATCCCAGAGGTGGCCTGCGCCGTGGGGAGACCCAGTGGGAGAGGTGCAGGGGGAGGGGAGGGAGCCTTGGAGGGCGACCAGCCTGGCTGGGCCCACGATCAGCTGCAGGGACCCCCCTGGGGCGCTGTCCCGGCTCCCGCAGCGTGTGCCGGGGACACCAGCCCTGGCTGCTCGCTCGGCCGGGTGGGAGCCGGCCTGGCCTGGCCCGGGAATCCGAGCCCGCCTCGAGGGCCCCTTGGCGCTCTGCAGACGCAGAGAAGATTCCTGCTGCATTTTTCTTAGAAACAGCAAGAGGGCCTCTGCCAGGGCCTGGATGCCAGAAGGCTCCGGTCTGAGGCCCAGGCCCAGC